TATCTGAGTCATATGACAGAACAAAGCTGAACAAATATGATCTTTGTTTAAGTCTAACCAGTTAAACGAGTTATGAGTCGGCTGGCCAGCTTATCACATCACTGAAACAAACGTTTGATTTTATTTCAGAGACGGACAACAGATGTTACACCCCCAATGGCGAACTGGGCAACTGCGTCCCATTTCAGGAATGCCAATTCGTGCTGGATGTGCAGAACAGATATGGCCGCAATGTGCCACGCTCGATACAGAACCAGATCAGGCGAATGGCGTGCAATGTGGACAAGCATTCGGTAATTGGCCATTACAATATAAACTAACTTGACCTGTACTAATTAACTCAATTGCCCTATAGACAATTCATTTGTGCTGCCGCAACACGTCTGGGATCACTGCTCAGAGCGCTAGTAACGGCAATAGGGATTCTATAACGAGAACGAAAGCCCCATTGAGCACGCGACAAACTAATGCCAGTCTGCGACGCATTGATTCACGTGGCTTGGAGCTGCTCAACTCGATTAAGGATTGCGGCAAGAAGGCCAACACCAAGCTAAGCGGCGGAGAGATTACGAAAATCGGCGAGTTCCCTTGGATTGTGCTGCTGAAGTACGAGACTTTCGGACGACCTTTCCTTTGCGGCGGCAGCTTGATCACCAATCGCTTTGTCTTAACCGCCGCGCACTGTGTGAGGGAAAGCTCTTTACCGTAAGTCTTATAGTTCATACGCTGTCAAATTTACTTACCGTTGCTCCACAGTATTGCAGTGCGCATGGGCGAGCACAATTTGGATACGGAAGAGGATTGCCAATTTCTGGGCGGACGGCGCAAGGAGTGTTTGCCACCCTACGAGGAGTATGGCATCGAGGACATACGCGTGCATCCCAACTACGTCGATAACAATATCAACAATGACATAGCCCTGATCAAACTCGATCGGCCCGTTCAGTTCAAGTCCCACATCAAGCCCATCTGCCTGCCCATTGATCGCCAGTCGCAGGATATAGCATACGATCAGAGCTTCTTCATCTCGGGCTGGGGTCGCACCCAAGACAACCGCCCATCCTCAGTGCTGCTCAAGGCGGTGATTAGGCGGGAGGACTTGAGTGTTTGCCGCAATTACTATCCCGGTGCTCCGGTTAGCGAGAATCACATCTGCGCTGTTGGCGATGGCATCTTACACACCTGCCGCGGCGACTCGGGCGGTCCACTCTTCTTCCGCAACTCTTTCAAGAACACGGTGCGATATGTCCAGTACGGCATCGTCTCCTATGGCGGCGCTCGCTGCGGCAAGCGAGAGAACCAGCCAGGCGTTTTCGCCTCTGTCCTGGACATGTTACCCTGGATCACACAGAATGTATATTAAGAACACGCCCAACTGTTGCCGTCTCTTATACTCATTATTATTTATTCGTTAGCTTAGCTCTCAATGCCATTGCAATAGTCACACTTTGAGATTATTGGTCGTAGCTGTTAGTCTTTTACAATATACACATACATATATAAATATAATGCAGAATGAAAATGAAATATTTCGTGTTACTTTTTATCTTTGTTGCGGAAATTGAGCCCTCTTCAGGAAGCCAGAGGATTTTAAGTTTAAATGCTAAAATGTTTTGTCTTGTCAGTAGCATATAGAATGATAATCTTGCAGAACGCATGACTCATTCCCCTCAGCTTTCTTATATGATACGTATCTGGAATATCTTATGCGTATTATCTTAGACTATAAACGCCCTGCGGTCAAGAAATATTTAGCTTCAGCCAAAAGCTTGTCATTTCTTGACTCTAATTAAGCATTTGATTTATGTATGATCGATGCTTCATGTTAATAAAAATGTGTTAGGATATAATATTTTCAAAAAATTAATTAAAGATAATCTCTTTTCATATCGTAAACGAGTATAAGTATGGGTTAGATTTATATATAAAATATGTTAATATGTATGCAAATACTGCTTATCTATATAAATGCCGGTCAAACAAATATGTTAAACAGCTTGTTATTGCAAACACTATAATGGCGTCATTACTGGCCGCTATTCAGCTGAATTCGCCATAATAATTATTACTGGATCATATCTAGAACTATGAGAAATTTGAATCACCAGAAAAATCCAGTGCAAATAATGTACGCCCATTATTAATAAATTTATTATGGGCAAATAGATTTGCAACTTTAGTCAATAAAATACAATTACTGAGATTCTGGCAAGAGCATAGCAAGTTTAAACAAAATTATTGTATTTGATTTGCTTAGTTTATTTTGTTGAGTACCTTAGATCAACGAATACATATAGTGAAGAAGAATTGTAAATTTCTCTGTGGTCAACTAACCGCAGTGCTAATAAATTTATTGCCATTTTATATCGCAAGGGTAGATCCCCGATTTAACTATGATTTAATCTCTACCTCGCTGAAGACAGTTTATTGTGCTATTATCGTAAGCTTGCATGATTCATATCGATCGTGTGTATCGGGAATGGAGCCCGCCCTCAACTAACCTCGCAAGTCTGTTGCCCTCCCTGATAACTTCCAGCGTGCAGCACGTCTATATGAAATCGTATTCTGATTCAGATTGGATTTTATAGCACTGAATCACCTAAGTGATTGCTTGGATATGCATTGATTGTCAACTAAGTATATCTTAACGACTTAATATTGCGTCTAGTTATAATTGCAATCACTTTAATGAAATGTAAAAAATTTCACAATTCTAACAGTATTACGTTAGCTATACGATTATAGTTGGGGAAGCCCTGGGAAATTAATTTTTATTTTCTAGTGCTCAATTGCAGTGCATATTGAAATTGTATATGCGGCTGCTAAGACAAAGCTCTAATCTAGCTCAATCTAGATTGGATAAAGCTGCACTGTGTCTGATATGAGTTATAGGTAATGCAACTGGAATAATTTATACTTTTATAGAAATACGCCTCAAATCTCATACAAAAAACTTTCAATTTTCAGCAAAACAAAAAGTAGTAAAATTGAACTTTAGATATGATCCCATTGATTTGGCTGATATATATATAAATATATATATATATATATATATATATATATGTACGTATTTATATACATATGTATGTATGTGTTTATAAATTTCCTAACATTTTCATAAAGACCTCTGCTCATAAAGAGAAAAAGAGAATTCAGACTATATCAACTGATTTTATACAGGAATATATCACATACTGTATACTCTATCGTCCCCTAGAAGTCTTCAATACAATACTTATTTCGTGACAAAAGTAAAATACCCACTAATTCACAAGGCAAAGGGCTAAATTGATTTCAATTAGGAACAATACGTAGATCTAATCTGAACTAGACTTTTCCTTTGTATTGCGCCGTGTGGTCAAACATACGAAAAATCAAAACAAAAAGCTGGCCTGTGGCTCACAACAGTTTCGACTTTGGTAGCGAACGTTTCCCAGACAATGCACTGGATTAGTTTTCTGTCACTGACATTAAAGGGGTAAATTATATAGTATATACATATATGTGTTTGGTATTGAGACCAATTATATAATAAATGAATATAACCTATTTTCAAAATAGGTCGCTCTATTTGGGTACACTTTATATATCGCTGACGTTCATAGTGCCCGTGACCAAGTCTCTGGTGGAGAGCTACTTCGCCACATCCGTGTCCTTCAACTTGGATACCATTTAGTGAGTTGAAATGTCAGAGGATAATGTAAAGAGTTAACACAATCCCATTTACAGTCTCAATTGGAATACTTCGTTTCCGGCCATTACCGTTTGCGAGCTGTACAACTCGGAAAAGATTTGGGACACGAGCGATTCGCTCTTTGGCATAGAGCACGACTTCCACATCGATGACTTTGTCGGCGAAATTGCCTTCTTCAGAGGCATCTGCACCAGCTGCGAGATGTGCGAAAAGGTGCAATGCCCAGACAACTTCACACAGCTGCTGGATGTGGTGGGATACAAGAACTGCGCAAGCTCTCGCTTTCTCTCTGTTTAAAGACTTCTCTTTCAGTTTCGCAGCAAATGCCATGAGCTTATTGTGGAGTGCCAGTACCTTAACAATATATTCGACTGCTGCGATCAGTTCCTGCCCATACTCACGGAGTACGGCGTCTGTTACACCTTCAACTCGGTCCAGGCGCGCAAAGTAGCCCAGGTGCAGTTCAAGAACAATCGCATGACTGGAGCCGGCAACCTCAAGTTTCTGGCCACGGCGGACATTCAGGTAAACGTACATGCACCCATCGATGTGCCGTACCTCTTCTCCGAGGGCATGATACGTGAGACAGTCCTGCTGGGCAACAACAAGGAGCTCATTTTGAACGTCATCGAGGTCTACAATCACGAGAGCGTCGAGGAGCTGAACTATGAGCAGCGACGCTGTCGCTACAGTCACGAGCACCCTGCGCAGCGCATTGGGATTTACGAGTTCTACAGCTTCTCCGGCTGCATTGTGGAGTGCACCGTGACCCTGCAGCTGCTCTACTGCAACTGCACCAGCCACTTTATGGCTGTACCCAGCAAGAACTCGCTGCCCATGTGCGACTACCAGGGCTTGATCTGTCTGACGGACATCCATGACAGACTGGTCGCTGAGCGCAAGTCCTGTGACTGCATGAGCTCCTGCGAGGAGCCAGAGTACAACATTATATACAATACAGCCGATGAGTAAGTGATTTGAACTAATCAAACGAATGTAACAGTATAACTATATATATTATTTGCAGCAAGCAGGATTCTGAGAAAGATTTCTCGGATATTCACGTGGCACTCGTGGAGCTGCCCACGCAGCGCTATGTGAGGCGGGTTTCAAAAACATTTCTGGACTTGTTGAGTGAGTGCAAGAAGTGAACCTATCACTGGCTATCCACTAACTGTTCCCCTTTTCAGTCTCTTTCGGTGGTCTAATTAGTCTCTTCTTCAATCTCTCAGCGCTACGTGTCGTAGAGGCAATATTTATGGGCCTGGAATACCGCAGAGAAGTGTTGAAATGGTCAAATCGAATATTCGTTGGCACACTCAAATATTTAAAGATTTTAATCAAGTTAAAGTAAATCACAAAATGTTTTCATTCATTTATAATCTGTCTTCCGATTGGGCAAGTCCTATGTGCATAACACATGTATATCGATTTCTCCTGTATGGGGCGATTCTAGCCTATGGTGTGGGCCATGTCTTACATGCTGCTGATTCTCTGCGGCACATATGTCAGATCATCCACCTTACTGGATCCAGCTGCTGGCCTTATAATCTCAATCAGCGTGTCCATATAGCTGGGCAAATAGACGCAGCTCGAGAATACCAAGAGCACAAACATCAACAAGAAAATTCCATCTGCGTATACATGAACAATGTGATAATTTTGAAAAAACGTTATCATGACCTCACTTACTGATTAGCTTCTTCTCCCATGGCTCGAACATATTAATGCAGGTGACCAGCTCATATTGCCGATATAAATGTGCGGCAGAATCCTTTAAATTCCACATTTTAGCTATGTAAATACTTTTCAAGTATTAGGTAGAGACTTCACAGGTGTGACACAATCAGGTGACTTTAACTTCTAACAAATTTACTTGAAAGAGTGCTAAATACGACTTTTAAGTATTTCATTCGATTCGCTTAAGCATTTCATTCGATTCGCTTAAACATATTATTGTTATTAAATATTAAATCAGCTGTTTTGCCAGTGTGACCGTTGCTGTATGCCAAATAGCCCACTCAGTGTTGCACAGCTTGCTCACTTGAAGTTTCATAGCAATCAGCTATTGAGCCAGTACTGCGGTTTGGTTGGCGGCTGCAAGGTTTCATATACAAGTTTAAAAAGGGATTATTGGATATTAATACTTTAAAATGTAAATAATAATAAATATAAGTTATTAATTTGAGTTAATATAAAACTGAACCTAATTTAAGAGCCACACTTCGGCTTTAATTACTAAATAAGAAAATTGTATTATATTACAGTCTTTTGAATATATAGAAATCATTCGATAAAATTAAAAGGGTTTACTTTTAGCTTTCTTTATATATCACATAAAGTTCAAGTTAATGATACTAATGAAAATATTTATCCACTTCTGCAGCACCTGTCCGAAGCTGTCGAAACAAATCAGTTAATATATCGATCTAAGGCTCGCAGCCGGATTACCTGAAAAGAATGTGTATGATGTCGAGATGCGCATTCAAAGTCCAAACTGACATTGAACATTGCGAATTAGTATTATTAATTGTAAGTTGCATTTAATTGCGCTCAGCTCGAGTGAAATTTGTTGTAACTTTTGGTGACCCAAAACAACACAGCAATATTTCATGATTCAGAGTCAAGAGTCTAGACCAATTGCCCATGCTATAGATAAATTTGCCTTTGAACAAACGTCTGGACCATCTTCGCGTAGCGTGGCCGGCTGCAAGGCAAAACAGGATTTCGAGCCATTGCGCCATAATTTGCACTGAGAAACTAGCACACTGCTCCGCAACGGCCACATGTGGCCAGCTGTATTGGCTTGAGCACTTGCCAAGAGCTACGTTGGCCATGACGACGACGACGGCGGCGACGGCGACGACGCTATCAATGCTGCCGTTGCGGATTGACAGGCGAGCAGTGGCTTGATTTATGCGCGCGGCAGAGGAATGTGGCAAAGTGTAAAAAATGTTTACACTCACACTCACTCTCACAGAGAGACAGACTCACATAGCGACACCCAGTCTCAATCTGTGTCTAAGGCGAGTCCAGACCAGACCAGGGCAGACCGAGTCACGCATATGCAGCGACAACTAATTCAATTTCCACTTGCCAGCCAGCTAGCCAGGCAACCAAGTGGCGAACATGGCGGCTGTTTAGCCAAGTGTGCACGCCTAATTGGTAATGCGATCGGCTTTATTGAGGCGCAGGCGCAGGCGCTGTAACTGAGACTCTGGCCATAGTTGAATCAGTTGCAGGCTATCGTTGTCGCTCAGCGTAAATCCCATTACGTGCAATCCGTTTCGAGCCATAAACATGTTGCTGCAGCTGCAGTGCCAGCACCACCGTCACCGCCGCCACCTGCTCTGGCCCATCGCTATCCTGGCTTCCAGCAGCGCAACTTGTCGCTCGAACTTAATTGCCTTGGTTGCGCTTATGACTCTCGTGTGCAATGCATCCACTCCACATCCACATTCACATTCACATCAGCCCATCTGCTTTGTTGTTGTTGCTATTGTTGCCGTTGTCTGCGGTGCATTATTAGAAAGTAACTTGCAAAAAGCTATCAGCATCAGGCTCCTCGTCGTCATCATCATCATCATCATCGTCATCATCCTTGCGCTTATCGTCATGGCTCCACCGGTTGTTGGCGCTATTTTCGACACCGCTTTGGCCTGCCATAAATTGCCAAATGCCAGCGTCACGGGCCCTGAAATGCACTCGACGCGCTCTCAGCCGCAAAATTAGAAAAAGTCGGTTGGCTAATTTAGTGAGCAGCTCCAGTCGGGGAACTGCTTTCCTGGCTGCCTTCATGAAAGTCCATTTTCCATTTTGTACGGTTTTCAATTAAAGCAACTGAAACAACATGCGACTGCCACGACCTCGCGCGCCCAAAGTTCAGGCCAAAGCCAAAGCCAGAGCTGGAGCCTGTGCCTCTGCTGTGCCACTGGCTGTGCCCGTACCTGTACCTGTGCTCTTACCTGTGCCGCGCAACTAATTCCGCAACACCGCAGCGACGATGACAGCGAGCGATAGCGAGAGCCAGGAATGAGCTGCAGTTGCCCAAAAGATAATCTAATTTTTGGTTGGGTGCCAAAGGGACGCGCAGCTTGCATTATTGTTCTGAGAAATTGTTATTAATTGAGTTGTCCAGCTGCAGCAGGCGAAAGAGCTGCCCAACGTGACCAGCCCCGTGGGTGGTCCGTGGCCTGACAAATATTGAGCGCCAACCATTTGCTCAACTTAATTGAGATTGGCCATCAATAAGCCGCAGACAGTCGTGGCTCGCCTCGTGCGCGCCGCGAATCGCGCCATTTGGCCCAGCGCCTCATTTGCATATGCTTAATTTATGCCCATCAATTAGCTGATTAATTTATTTGGCGTGAGATGCTCGGCGAACGCTCGGGCTTAAAACGCTTGTCTAATTAGATAAATGCGCTACATTAATGTGCCGCGTCTGACATTTATAAAGCGTTGCCTCCGACCTCGATTAACTGCTGGGGAAATTTCGCAGTTAGTTTCAGATGGAGATATGTGGAGCCGGGCTTAGTTATTAGTTATTATTTGGCCGACTGTCTCTTCCCAGGCACTAGATCTATGTGGATCTGTGCCACTCAATTCCCACCCAAATTAGCTTCAAATACTCCTTTTATAAATGCCACCTGTCCAACAAACACGGACATGGCTCGATCTCAATCCGGCTCTTGGCCCGGCCGACTGTCCGCTAACAGATCGAGGGAAATGGCAAAATATTTTAATTAAAATACAAGTAAACGTTTACTGTAAGCGATGTTATCCGTTCCGCCAGAGAGCTGCTATCCACAATGCACTGCATTGCATTGCTATTGCCATTGGCTTGCATTGCTACCGGCTGCGTGTCTGGCGCTAGGTGGCTGAGCTGAGTGAGTGCAGCAAGTGCTGCAATTGTTGCATGCAACAACATCAACATGTGTCGCACAGCGCCTATTTGAATATATATCAAATCAGTTTAAGATAATTTTCTATAACAGCTACTCGCAACACGGCAAATCGCGCACATTTATACATTGGCAAGTTTGTTGCCTAAGTCTTTCGTTTCGCCCGTCCCGATGCCACTCGGCTGACTGGCCGGCTGGCTGGCTGGCTGGCTGGCTAGCTAGCTGGCTGGCAGTGCATATTTTACGCGCTGCATTGTTGCTAACGTTTCGAGGCTCGAAATTAAGTTGTTTTGCATAAAAGCACCATAAAAAGTCGCATGGGTAACGCATGGCCGGCAGCCAAAGGAGGCAGCTACAATTGTGATTAGAACGACACGACAGGCACGACATGAGCGCAGGGCACGGACAGAGCGGACAGAGCGGACGGCGCTGGCACACCATACAACAAGACATATGACGCTGTTGCTCTATACCAATATGGACAACAATTGCCTCAGCAACAGCAGCAACTGCAACTGCAACTGCAACGTCGACGACGACGACGACGAGGAAAATTGGCAAGTCAACACGAGCGACGTATGTCAACAAATGGCACTGCCATTAGCGGCCAATACGGCCGAGGCTACACGAGATTTTGGCTTCCTGTTGCTGCTTGTAGGCAAATGCTAGGACAGCAATTCAGGCTGCCGATCGCCAACAGCCTCTGTGGCAGCAGCAGCGGCAGCGGCAGCTTGTTGCAACTATTATCAATTTAAGTTGGCTAATTGGTTTCAAATTTATGGACCTGTATTTGATATTTATGTCGTCTGCTAAGAGCAAGCGGCCAAGGCAGCAGCGTCTCAGTCTCAGTCTCAGTCTCAGTCTCGGTCTCAGCCTCAGCCTCGGTCTGTGGCTGCAATTTTTGCCTGGTCGCCTTGCCATTGCCGTGGCATGCTGCAAACAACGTAATTGGCTTTCAATTTGCAGCAAATTGTTGCAACAGCCACGACAACAACGAAAAGCAGCGCAGCGCAGCGCACAGTGCGCTATAGCGAAACATATTTAGATTATAGACGGATAAAGTTTATGTACGTTCTGTTCTCTCTTGTCCGCAAGACAAGTTTCTTTTGCGCCTTGCCTCACCTGGCGCGCCCTGGCTCAACCTGGCTGGGTCCGGCCTCGCCTCGTTTTGGCCTGAGTGCTGGCTGGGGTGGACGTTTGCAGCTCTTGCCATTCGCTTCTTCCATAATTCCAATGAGTTATATGGCCATCATGTGCACTCGGGACCCTTCAAACGTTCAAAACGTAGCGCGCGTTAATTAAAAAGCCAACAACAGCAACAACAACAAGAACAGCCACAACAAAAGCGCCAAAAATGCTGCTAAATTTTGCGCTGCTCCAGCGGACAAAAAAGGGCGGCCGACTGGGCTTAGCTGTTCAATAACTAAATAAAACACTCAGCCGACTCGAGTCGAAAAGCCGCCGCCGCGTCGATCGTCGCGTTTGCTTCGCGACAGCCACAATCAAGCGAAAATTCCAGGCATTTTCTGCTTCATTAACAACGCACAACGCGGCCATTTCGTTTTGTTCGAAATTTACGCACACACACACGCATGCAGACACACACATTCACAGTCAGCCGAGCTCTGTGGCTCAGCATCATCTCTGAAGGTTGAAGCTGGGCCACGTCCAAGTAAAGTCCGTTCAGTAATGGAGCTTAGTTTGGTTTTCGGCTTTGTTTTCTTTTTTTTTTTTTTTTTTTTGGTATTTTAATTAGAAACCGAACAACGCAAAATGCATTGCTCTTTGGCCATTTCGCTTTCTTTCGAGCCTTTCGGCCGTTCGATCCACGCGAGGCCGCGCTGCCAGCCTCAGCTCGCTGCTCGCAGTTCGCAGTTCGCATTTCGTTTTCACATTCAATTAGCGCATATTTCAAATGCGGTCGCTGCGAATATTTTTGTTATGCCAGGCGAAACGCACAGGAAATGGCATCGATAGAAGTTCGATTCGAAGTTGAAAAGAATAACTATAAAATTGATATTGTAAAGATGTCTGGACTTCGTTCTGATGAAAATAATGATGGTGGCAGTAAAATATAAGAACTAGTAATTGAAGGA